TATATATATATATATATATATATATATATATATATTATTATAGACTGTGGGTTGGTTGGTGTTGTCGTCGTTGATCCTTCTCTATGGACAACCCAACCCACAACTCGGCAGAGTGCTTATACTAGGAGATCACCCTTGGCGCTTCTGGCTCTTGGAGAGGGGCTCAACGTCACACGTTTAGGGGATGCGGCTCCAACACTTAGCCTCGTTGTCACGTGCACACACCCACTCGAGCCGCTGTGACTCCCCACTCTCTCCTTATGAGATACGATCTCCTCAATCCCCTATGACTTACTAGTATTACCTCTTACCCTGTCCACAGCAGTGGTTCTTGGTTCTTTCTCTCTCCTTCTTTACTACCTCCTGGGAAGCCTCACTAGGACAAGGGCAAACACCAGCAAATTGTGACACATTTACTGGACAAAGCACATACACGATACATACACACATATAATAATAATGAATCCTATACTCGATAATCACAATCAGGTTGCACTCCAACACCATCAGAACTCTATTATCAGCTTATCCAGTGGTATCCTATCTCCTGGTTCACCACCTGATACTATTAACCTCCTCAAGTTGGTCAAGCCTACATACACTGTTGCACTATCAGCAAGATAACATATATATATAGAAAACCAGCATTTGAATGCAATAACATATACCAGTATAAATGTTCATTGATACTTCAATATAAAAAACTCCTTGACATAAGGATGCCAACAGTCACTCAACTCTCACTGCGTCTTGCACGCTACTGACAACCAAACACTATCAACTCCCTATAAGTAATCCACCAGAACTTCCCCTTCCACCTCTGGAAGTTCACTACCCTAATATCCTTAGGTTCTTCCGGGCTTCACTACCAGGATCCTCTGCAGCTCCTCCAGGCTGCTATCATGAAGTTTCCTTGAGCAACTACGGTGCTTCACCCTCCTGCTAGGTTCCTCCACAGCTCTCTTGGCTGCTACACCATGAAGTTTCCCCGAGCAACTGTGGTGCTTCTCCACCTCTACAGAAGCACGTGACACTCCTCTTCACTGCTGCTTCTCCTCACAGCTCGAGGTCCTCTGCTCCACTACCTTGGAGTCTCATCAGCTACTTCATCTGCTGGCTTCGAAGTTCTCAGCAACTTCTTCCCCAAAGACAAACCTGCAACCCATCGACGTTCCAATAAAATGTTCCCCTTTAACACATAAACAAAAATAACCACACAATATGCTTGCCTCAAACCTCTATCTGTCCTCTACATACAGTGAGAGTGGACTCCCCCGTTTTGGGCGGGTCCATACTCCACCTCGCCTGGCGGCGGTCCTCACTCGCTGGGAGGGTTTTCCTCCATCCGGAGCCAGGCTCCCTCAGTCGTCCGCCAGCGCTCAGAGGGGGCGGACGTCGCTCCGTATTCCTCCCTCTCCACTCTCTTATTTCAGGCTTTCTGCCTTATTAAAACATGTCTAACTTATAAATAAACATTGCTACTGTCGCTGGGCACACGACCAACTACAAGTGATCACTATGAACCGGCGTATATCGTGCTTACCACAGATTAATTGGTCGAGGGCGCTTTCCCTCTGACGGCGTCTGGTCAGGGCGCTCCCACGGCCCACAATAATGCCTCCGGGCGGCTTAATATTCACTAATTATCGTCCACGACTTGAGACCACACGTCCCCAGCTCGATTCCACAGCTGGCACGTCTGCACACTTCTCTTCTCTTAGAGATATATCACTAGGGGTTCCCTTCTGACGGGAGCTCAAACGGAGCGCGGCTTCCCCCTGCGATGTCTGGCACTCAAGTGAGGTCAAGGTCCTCCGGAAGCGAGCCTCACGCCTCCAGCAAAATGTCCACATCTCCTAGCCCGTCATTTATCTATTTTCTTCTGCATTGCCCATAATCTCAAACTGTTACACATATCCAACCAACTATTTTTACATATGCGTTATCACCTCAATACTTGCTAGACCTTCTAGTTAGGTCAGGCTTGCTGAATAACTCTCAAGAAGGGAGACTCGTTTCTCCTGCAGGCTGAGATCATAACAATATATATATATATATATATATATATATATATATATATATATATATATATATATATATATATATATATATGTTAATGGACATATACACATCCCCAGGACACAGCCTGTAGCAGCTGTCTTAACTCTCAGGTACGCGTATTTACTGCTAGGTGAACAGAGGCGTCAGGCGAAGAAACTCTGCACATCTATTTCTACCTCGACCGGGAATCAAACCCAGGCCCCTTGCGAAAACGACTCTGCCCCTCCCTAGTGCTGTCCACTCGGCTACGAGGACCTATATATATATATATCCAATGGAGTAAAGGGATCTTCTGGCAGTATTGAACGATTGATCAAGTACATTAATTTTTTCCTTCTGAAGAGCCTTAATAACCGTGTAGTGAAGGAGCCAGAAAAATGTCATGGGGTCGAGGGTGGGTGACCCAGCGACTGGCTCTACCAACCACTCCAAGTGGCAGCCCCACATTAAGGAGCACCCACAGGGGGGCTGGCGGCCCGGTTTGAAGTCCACTTTCGGGGTAATAATTGGAAATCCACTATTAAAAAAACCTCCGAGATCTGAAAAAGATCAATATTAGCTGGTTGGTAATGAGCTTAGTTTTTTTTTTTATTGGGGAATGGAGGAGTGACTTGCCTTTAGAGGTTAAAGAGAAGCGGTCCTTTGGAATCGCATTTTGAGTGAGAAATTCCATTCACCAGGGGGCTAAATTCACGAAGCAGTTACGCAACTACTTACGAACCTGGGGCTAAATTCACGAAGCAGTTACGCAACTACTTACGAACCTGGGGCTAGATTCACGAAGCAGTTACGCAAGTACTTACGAACCTGGGGCTAGATTCACGAAGCAGTTACGCAAGTACTTACGAACCTGGGGCTAGATTCACGAAGCAGTTACGCAAGTACTTACGAACCTGGGGCTAGATTCACGAAGCAGTTACGCAGCTACTTACGAACCTGGGGCTAGATTCACGAAGCAGTTACGCAACTACTTACGAACCTGGGGCTAGATTCACGAAGCAGTTACGCAACTACTTACGAACCTGGGGCTAGATTCACGAAGCAGTTACGCAACTACTTACGAACCTGGGGCTAGATTCACGAAGCAGTTACGCAAGTACTTACGAACCTGGGGCTAGATTCACGAAGCAGTTACGCAACTACTTACGAACCTGGGGCTAGATTCACGAAGCAGTTACGCAAGTACTTACGAACCTGGGGCTAGATTCACGAAGCAGTTACGCAAGTACTTACGAACCTGGGGCTAGATTCACGAAGCAGTTACGCAAGTACTTACGAACCTGGGGCTAGATTCACGAAGCAGTTACGCAAGCAGTTACGCAAGTACTTACGAACCTGGGGCTAGATTCACGAAGCAGTTACGCAAGTACTTACGAACCTGGGGCTAGATTCACGAAGCAGTTACGCAAGTACTTACGAACCTGGGGCTAGATTCACGAAGCAGTTACGCAGCTACTTACGAACCTGGGGCTAGATTCACGAAGCAGTTACGCAACTACTTACGAACCTGGGGCTAGATTCACGAAGCATTTACGCAACTACTTACGAACCTGGGGCTAGATTCACGAAGCAGTTACGCAACTACTTACGAACCTGGGGCTAGATTCACGAAGCAGTTACGCAAGTACTTACGAACCTGGGGCTAGATTCGCGAAGCAGTTACGCAACTACTTACGAACCTGGGGCTAGATTCACGAAGCAGTTACGCAAGTACTTACGAACCTGGGGCTAGATTCACGAAGCAGTTACGCAAGTACTTACGAACCTGGGGCTAGATTCACGAAGCAGTTACGCAAGTACTTACGAACCTGGGGCTAGATTCACGAAGCAGTTACGCAAGTACTTACGAACCTGGGGCTAGATTCACGAAGCAGTTACGCAAGTACTTACGAACCTGGGGCTAGATTCACGAAGCAGTTACGCAAGTACTTACGAACCTGGGGCTAGATTCACGAAGCAGTTACGCAAGTACTTACGAACCTGGGGCTAGATTCACGAAGCAGTTACGCAAGTACTTACGAACCTGGGGCTAGATTCACGAAGCAGTTACGCAACTACTTACGAACCTGGGGCTAGATTCACGAAGCAGTTACGCAAGTACTTACGAACCTGGGGCTAGATTCACGAAGCAGTTACGCAAGTACTTAAGAACCTGGGGCTAGATTCACGAAGCAGTTACGCAAGTACTTACGAACCTGGGGCTAGATTCACGAAGCAGTTACGCAAGTACTTACGAACCTGGGGCTAGATTCACGAAGCAGTTACGCAAGTACTTACGAACGTGTACATCTTTCCTCAATCTTTGACGGCTTTGTTTACATTTATTAAACAGTTTACAAGCATGAAAACTTGCCAATCAACTGTTGTTATTGTTATAAACAGCCTCCTGGTGCTTCGGAGCCCATTAACTGTTTAATAATTGTAAATAAAGCCGCCAAAGATTGAGAAAAGATGTACAGGTTCGTAAGTACTTGCGTAACTGCTTCGTGAATCTGGCCCTTAGACTGTCGGGACCGCACGCGCGTGAGACTGAAGTTTTAGATCATTTATTGAGTGAGAAATGTGTGAGTTAACGCATTTCCCACAGTTATACGCCAGACCTACGCCGCTTCTGGTGGTAAATTTTTTTCTACCACAGACGTGGCCAGACATTTACAATGCTAACCAGCTATATATACATTTTCTTGTGTCCTCCATGGACAGGGTTAGAGATGTGTTAAACACATAGCGGCAGGTGGTAATGACAGCGTCTCAGGTCATCCCTACACCGTCCTCTGGGGTCATTATTGTAGGTGTTAAGGTAGTCATCATATGACCACCTCCCGCTCCGGCTGCTGCTCTTGGGACACGCCTCGTGGTAGTTGTGGTAGTGGTGGTAGTTGTGGTAGTGGTGGTGGTAGTTGTAATGGTGGAGTGAGTGGGTTTTTTTTTTTTTGCAGGGATATTCCTGCGCGGGCCCAGTCTTCCACAGTGTCCCCAAGTCTTCCACAGTGTCCCCAAGTCTTCCACAGTGTCCCCAAGTCTTCCACAGTGTCCCCAAGTCTTCCCCAGTGCCCCCAAGTCTTCCCCAGTGCCCCCAAGTCTTCCCCAGTGCCCCCAAGTCTTCCCCAGTGCCCCCAAGTCTTCTCCAGTGCTCCCAAGTCTTCCCCAGTGCCCCCAAGTCTTCCCCAGTGCCCCAAAGTCTTCCCCAGTGCCCCCCAGTCTTCCCCAGTGCCCCCCAGTCTTCCCCAGTGCCCCCAAGTCTTCCCCAGTGCCCCCAAGTCTTCCCCAGTGCTCCCAAGTCTTCCCCAGTGCCTCCAAGTCTTCCCAGTGCCCCCAAGTCTTCCCCAGTGCCCCCAAGTCTTCCCCAGTGCCCCCAAGTCTTCCCCAGTGCCCCCAAGTCTTCCCCAGTGCCCCCCAAGTTTTCCCCAGTGCCCCCCAAGTCTTCCCCAGTGCCCCCAAGTCTTCCCCAGTGCCCCCCAAGTCTTCCCCAGTGCCCCCAAGTCTTCCCCAGTGCCCCCCAGTCTTCCCCAGTGCCCCCCAGTCTTCCCCAGTGCCCCCCAATCTTCCCCAGTGCCCCCCAGTCTTCCCCAGTGCCCCCAAGTCTTCCCCAGTGCCCCCAAGTCTTCCCCAGTGCCTCCAAGTCTTCCCCAGTGCCCCCAAGTCTTCCCCAGTGCCCCCAAGTCTTCCCCAGTGCCCCCAAGTCTTCCCCAGTGCCTCCAAGTCTTCCCCAGTGCCCCCAAGTCTTCCCCAGTGCCCCCAAGTCTTCCCCAGTGCCCCCAAGTCTTCCCCAGTGCCCCAAGTCTTCCCCAGTGCCCCCAAGTTTTGCCCAGTGCCCTCCAGTCTTCCCCAGTGCCCCAAAAGTCTTCCCCAGTGCCCCCCAAGTCTTCCCCAGTGCCCCCCAAGTCTTCCCCAGTGTCCCCCAAGTCTTCCCCAGTGTCCCCCAAGTCTTCCCCAGTGTCCCCCAAGTCTTCCCCAGTGCCCCCCCAAGTCTTTCCCAGTGCCCCCAGTCTTCCCCAGTGCCCCCCAAGTCTTCCCCAGTGCCCCCCAAGTCTTCCCCAGTGTCCCCAGTCTTCCCCAGTGCCCCCCCAAGTCTCCCCCAGTGCCCCCCCAAGTCTCCCCCAGTGCCCCCCAGTCTTCCCCCAATACCTCCTAACGTGTTGTGTCCGCCGCGAAAACAAGAGCGATCGTATCGTCCATATATCGTCTTTTTTCTGTTCCACCGACGACCTCGTCCTAACACGGGTCACGCGCTCGCTACCGTGAAAACATTTTTCCTTCATACGCTATTCATATCGTAGGTTGAATTGGCACTCATCTCACCCGGTGGCACAGTGCCTGGTGCTCCCTCGTGCAGTGGCACAGTGCCTGGCTCCCGCGACACTTCACACCATGTAGAACATAATTGTAGTAGTAATCGACATTTTATTGCATAGCCTTGAGAAATGGCTGGCATTTCTTTGCCTCATTTTACGTGTTTGGAGAGCAGAGGGGGGGGGGGAGGGTGAAGAGAGGAGAGGGATAGTAAGGGAGGTAAGGGAGAGTAAGGGAGGAAAGGGAGAGTGAGGGAGAGTAAGGGAGGAAAGGGAGAGTGAGGGAGAGCGAGGGAGAGCAAGGAAAGGGAGAGCGAGGGAGAGCAAGGGAAGGGAGAGCGAGGGAGAGCAAGGGAAGGGAGAGCGAGGGAGAGCAAGGGAAGGGAGAGTAAATAGGGGCAATTAAGTTTTGGTTCCTATTTTAGTTCCTAGAAACAAGACACAATAAAGTTAGTCTCTTTTCTCTTTAATAATTTGTTATCTCCTCCTTTTCTTTCTCCTTTCATTCAGTTTTCCTCATTTTTTCTTCATCCATTTCCTTTCATGAATGAAATGAAAATCATATAAATAAAATAGTTGGGACTTTGACAGTGTTTTGTACACGAAAAGTTTCCTTTCCTTTCCGCGTATCTCCTTCCTTCCCAGCTCCCTCCCTCTCTGCTCCTTCCTTCCCAGCTCCCTCCCTCTCTACCTCTTCCTTCCCAGCTCCCTCCCTCTCTACCTCTTCCTTCCCAGCTCCCTCCCTCTCTGCCCCTTCCTTCCCAGCTCCCTCCCTCTCTGCCCCTTCCTTCCCAGCTCCCTCCCTCTCTGCCCCTTCCTTCCCAGCTCCCTCCCTCTCTACCCCTTCCTTCCCAGCTCCCTCCCTCTCTGCCCCTTCCTTCCCAGGTCCCTCTCTGCCCCTTCATTCCCAGCTCCCTCCCTCTCTGCCCCTGCCTTCCCAGGTCCCTCTCTGCCCCTTCATTCCCAGCTCCCTCCCTCTCTGCCCCTTCCTTCCCAGCTCCCTCTCTGCCCCTTCATTCCCAGCTCCCTCCCTCTCTGCCCCTTCCTTCCCAGGTCCCTCTCTGCCCCTTCATTCCCAGCTCCCTCCCCCTCTGCCCCTTCCTTCCCAGTTCCCTCTCTGCCCCTTCATTCCCAGCTCCCTCCCTCTCTGCCCCTTCCTTCCCAGCTCCCTCCCTCTCTGCCCCTTCCTTCCCAGCTCCCTCCCTCTCTGCCCCTTCCTTCCCAGCTCCCTCCCTCTCTGCCCCTTCCTTCCCAGCTCCCTCCCTCTCTGCCCCTTCCTTCCCAGCTCCCTCCCTCTCTGCCCCTTCCTTCCCAGCTCCCTCCCTCTCTGCCCCTTCCTTCCCAGCTCCCTCCCTCTCTGCCCCTTCCTTCCCAGCTCCCTCCCTCTCTGTCCCTTCCCTGCCCTTTCCCTCTCTGTCCCTTCCCAGCTCCCTCTCCCTCTGTCCCTTCCTTCCCAGCTCCCTCCCCCTCTGTCCCTTCCTTCCCAGCTCCCTCCCTCTCTGTCCCTTCCCTGCCCTCTCCCTCTCTGCCCCTTCCTTTCCCTTTCCCGTCCCAATGCACATAAATCCAATGCGAGGCTTCGCCTTGATCCTGCAACTTTTTTTGTATTTATCTCTCCCAAGAAACAGCCGAAGATGTCGTCAGAAAGCGCAACAAAAGCCCAGCGTCCAGGTGGTGGTGGGGGGGGGGGGGGTCCACGTGCACGCCTCGCCGGGTCCGCCCAAATGTAAACAAAGAATCAGCTGATCGGTCAGGTGTGAGCTTCCTTCTGTCGCCTCCGTGTACGGTGTACTGTCGGCTCCTCCGGCGTGGTTATTCGGTTATCCTGGTTATCTTTCCTCCTGTTTGGTGGTCTGGTCAACCAGATTGTGTGGAGGCGGCTGCTGGCAGCCTGGTTGATCAGGTAGCCTTTGGGGGGGTATATTTATCGAGTCCTTTTTCTGAACACGTGTTGAACAGGGCTGTTCAACACGCTCTCGCTGGATGTGGGAGATAATTGGCCGGCTTCTCACGGTGTTGAAAGGGACTTTATAGTTATGCCCGAAACGGTTTGCGTAATAGTGGCTTTAGGCATTGTATGTACTAGCTCTACCTATAAGTCTACCAATCCTTGTAAAAATTTATTGTATGTATGTACCTTACCTAAATAAAATTGTATTGTATTGTTATAAATATTTCCAGTGGATACCTGATCAACCAAGCTGTGATTCATAGGTCAGGCTGCGAGCAGCCGCGCCTGTTGTCCAGACCACCAACTAAAAAGCCTGCTCAGAGACCGGGCCACGGGGACGTTGATCCTCGAAATCACCGCAAAGCAACAGCAAGGTTGGGTTTACGTTGTGTTGGTGGTCTGATCAAGCAGGCTGTTAGACGCAGCCGCTAACGTATAATACGTCTGCCGTATGAATCTTTGGCCAGTTGATATCCTGAAGGGGGTTCTTGATATCCTGTTGATATCCGGAAGACATATTTTGGCGTTTGAAGAGGTAAAGTGATAGGTTTATCTAATTGGTTTGTGATTTGTTCTGTCTTATAATGTTGTTTCAGATTTAGCTACTCAGAACGAGGTGTCCATGTAGCACGGGCTATGGTGAGCACGTAAGTCTGTCTTACAAGTTCTTTGTTCAATTTATTCTGTCGCCCAACGTTCGAATTAGGGATGGGCATTGTCTGGAAGGGTGCAGTGAGCACTAAGATCTCTTCTTAGTACTATGACTATAGCACTGAGAAGAGGTCAGGATAAGGATTTAGGATGGGACGGGGTGGGGGTGGGGGGGGGAAGGAATAGTAACCAGTTAGTAAAAGTGCATTTTGACATTGGCCACAAATATCGCACTATGAAAAATCAGTTCAAAGGATGATAAAATTGCTTTTTTCAATGTTTTATTAAAGTCAACTTGGAATGTGTTGGTCTAATTGAACTCTTGTCAGATCTTGTGAAATGATGGGGCTCTTGTTAGCTCCATCTCAGTAACGAGGCCTTGACAGGTCTAATATGATAATGGAGCCCTTAGAAGATCTATTAAAAAAAAATAAGAGCCCCTTGGCAGATATACTGCAGTAATGAACCTTTTGCCAGATCTGAAGCAATATAACCTAATATATAGTAATTTTATATCAATTAATGATTCTGTCAAAAGAGAAAAGTGCTTTTAAACCCCCGGGATAACAAGTGCAGTTAATGAACCATTTGAAGATAACATCAGAAGCTAAATAGGACTTGTCAACGAGTCCACCACCTCCGGTACGGGTCCTGGAACCTACAGAGAGGATGGTAATGTAATAAATATTAATTAAGGGAAGTGTGCAGGGTGAGGATAGAGCGCTCCCGCTCCAAGGTGAGAGGATAGGATGGTGCTGCCCCAGAGATAGGATAGGGTGTGGGTGTCTCAGAGCTAGGATAGGGGTGTGTGGGTGTTCCAGGGCTAGGATAGGGGTGTGGGAGTCCCAGCGGCTAAAATAGGGCGTATGGGAGTCCCAGCGGCTAGAATGGGGTAGTACTCACCGACTTTGTGGCAGCCTGGAGTCTGCCAGGCGTGCTGGTAGGAGGCGGCCGCGGCGACCAAACACGACACCATCACTACCCACGCCTTCACCATCACCCCCACGCTCCTGTAACACACACAACACGGCCGGGTGAGTCTCCCACATTAACACACAACGTGGGTTAGTCCCCCCCATGCAGTATTCAATAACGGGGACGCTATATTCTCGTGTGTGTGATCCCCGCCAGGAGGTCCGGCGCCTCTTGGGGGGACCGCCACGGTATAAGTAATAGGGAGATATTGTGATGAATCTTGTTATCGAATCTTCACGTTATGTCGGCTCGAAGGCTGGTGAGCGTTTGAGTGTCTGGGGCACGTCGTATGGCTAGGATTAACTTGGTTTCTTCGGTGGGATTAGCCTTGTCTACCCGGTGGGATTAGCCTTGTCTACCCGGTGGGATTAGCCTTGTCTACCCGGTGGGATTAGCCTCGTTTTCCCTTTGGGATTAGCCTCGTTTTCCCTTTGGGATTAGCCTCGTTTTCCCTTTGGGATTAGCCTCGTTTTCCCTTTGGGATTAGCCTCGTTTTCCCTTTGGGATTAGCCTCGTTTTCCCTTTGGGATTAGCCTCGTTTTCCCTTTGGGATTAGCCTCGTTTTCCCTTTGGGATTAGCCTCGTTTTCCCTTTGGGATTAGACTCGTTTTCCCTTTGGGATTAGCCTCGTTTTCCCTTTGGGATTAGCCTCGTTTTCCCTTTGGGATTAGCCTCGTTTTCCCTTTGGGATTAGCCTCGTTTTCCCTTTGGGATTAGCCTCGTTTTCCCTTTGGGATTAGCCTCGTCTTCCCAGTAGGATTACCTCCGTTTCTCCTATGGGATTTACCATGTGTAAGGGATTATTCTCGGTACTTGTAGGATTAAAACTTCTGTTAATGTATTATATTCATTGTTTACGTTTGGCTGAAGTCAAATAGTTACTCGGTTGACACAGGTTGTATTGTGACGGTTATGGAACACTGTTCAGTTCAGTGGGTCTTATTCCCTGGGAATATTATTCATTTATTCAATACATTAATGCGTGTAGCGTGTGTCTGGAGTGTGTGTAGTGTTAATGTATAGTATAGAGTGTTGTGTCGATTGAGATATGGTAGTGTTTCGTGCGCAACGGTTACCAGTCAACCATCAGGGGGGAAGTGGGGGACTAATTATTAACCCCGCCACAATAACTTGTTGACCTAACCAGGAAGTATATATGCTTTTATCCTGTTTATAGTTCAGAGCAAAACAAAAGTTAACCGAGAATATGGATTGAAGCGTATATATATACACCTGTTGCTTAACATATATATATATATTCTCCTATATATGCCTATCCGTTTACGGGTTTGGATAGTCCAAGTGATGTCCAGTATAGGTGGACTGGTCCACCTCTCCACCGCCACGGAGAGGGCGGACGCGTCCACTCCCGCCACATTATCAGTCCACTTGGGTCGTCTGGTTCTCGCCACGCCCTCAGGTCCGCTGCCACATGGTTGGGTTCCCCGTGGCTCACTCTCACATGATGTAAGGGAATATTGCCGACATTCTCGCCTCGGATGCACGCCGATACGGGCTGTCTCGGCAATCCGGCACCATGTCTGCC